TAATTTGAGGACTACCTGTAGTAGTTTATATCACTGAATATAAGCTGCTGAGATAATTATTATAGTTAGGTAATGCAAAACGCTGCACATACTAATAAATAGCTAGACAACATCCTTCAGAACAGCGTTTAACAAGCATTGTTTTCTGTTCAATTCTCAGGATCTAAATCATATTTATATTTTACAATAATGAAACCACACATACCTTTTGCCAGTGTACAATCTCCCAAGCTCCATTTCTCAATACTGCATCATGAAAAGTAATAATAAAACCACAAATGCTCTATTAAATCCAAATTATTTTCTACTAATGTAACATTTGCTCTAAGATCCAATTATACAGAAACATTATGTGTCTGTGTGTGTGTGTGTGGGGGGGGGAACAAAGTTCATTCTATCAAAATTTTATTTTGTTATCCACATAATTCTCAATATAAAACCATTCATTTGTGCAAGATTCTGTCAGTCTTTTTATTTACTTTCTTTTCATCTTTTTTGGCTAAAGTGCTCTCTTTTTCAAGTATATAGTTTGTGTTTAGCTACCGGCAATTCGGTGGTCAACAGAAGTAGTCATTAGGGGAAACCCAAACTATGCTTGTTATCTTATATGTAGTCCTTCACTTGTGACCATAATCACGGCAAGAATTATTGTCATAAGCTGAACCATCATGTGACTGATTTTTTGAGTTTTTTTGGTGGTTGTTAAACAACCACGGCAATTGTTAAGTGAAACCATATTCCCCAAGGGCCGGTTTTTGCTCAAAAGCACAATGTCAGAAACTAGCAAAAAGAGTGTCATGTATATGTGTATGTGTGTACACACACACACACAAACACACACACACAGACTTTACAATTTCTTGTTTACACTTTGAATAGCATCTAGATTAACTGTCGTTAGATGGGTGACTATATAAATCATATAAATAAATAAAATGACAAAGTAATTAGAAAAATAGCTTTATTGGGAAAACTTCACATGGCTTCATTTTTACTCACTGAACAGTTAAAAAATGGTTATATATGAAATCTCCTACCTTGTACTTCCTTTTTATTCACAGCATTATCAGCTTTCTGTCTTTTCTGAAACAAACCACATAGATTTTTACAACGCTATTATGGAATATTTTAAATATTAAACAAGTTACATATGAAAGTGAATTATGACTAGGTTCACACAACATGTATAACACATCATGTTAGAGAACTATTGCCTAAATATGCACAAGGTACCACATTTGGTAACTTTTTTTTGGTGATTTATCCTTCATGCAAACCAAGGCAGAACTTTTAAGTATTTTTTCCCCCCAAAAAAGTACTCTATTTTCCAGGCAGATTGCAGAGAGCATCCTAAATTGGTGATTTGCTATGGGATTTTTTCAAAATATTTAATTTTTTCCAGACATCCTCCTCTTGGCCTATATAGATGGACAAATAAAGAACAACACAGCAAGAGCTTGTTTCCATTATTCTCTAAAGATTGTGTTTTTTGTACCAATTGAATTGGGACACAATTCTGGAACAGGCAATGTCTTGTTCTGATAATTGAAACGCTTTTACAAAACTAATAACATTCAATATACTGCTTGTCATCAATGCATTTGGAAAATATTTTCAGTCTGGCATCTTATAAATGCGATGATTTCGTTTTAACAAGGGAAGCAAATCAGGCTCCACAGTCCACTCAAGGAGCTGTGGGACTCAGCCTGTCTCTCAGCCTTAAAAGTGGAGGCTTCCAAGGATTGAGAGAATAGCAAAATAACACAAGGCTGTGTTATTATCTTTATCTACATATATAAAAATGGCTGTTTGTGTGTATGCTCCAGCATAATTCCTGAACGCCTTGAGCAATTTCAACCAAATTTCGTACACAGATGACTTACTCTCTGGAAACAAATACTGTGGGGGTAAGACACCCCTAACACCNACATATTTTCAAAAAAATACAGAAAACATAAAATAATTTTATGGTTGGGGGTCACCACAACATGAGGAACTGTATTAAAGGATCGCGGCATTAGGAAGGTTGAGATCCACTGATCTAGGAGTACCTCTACTCAATTCAAACTAGTTTAATTCTGAATAATCATGTGTGCATAGAATTGCACTGGAAAGCTACCAAATTATGTACATATAATTTAAAATAAGCCCTATTTATCAAATTTGTTTACATTTGAGTGAATATTTTCTGAAGAACATTGAAAATAAATGAGTGGAACATCAAAGATCGGGAAAATATGTTTCATTACCGAAATTAATATATTTTGACATTCATCACTGTAATCAAATAAAATTAATGATGTCAAACAAAATGCAATCCAAACATAGAATCTATATAAAAACTGCTTTTATTGAGGTAGCATGCTGTTCATCCATCAACAAATCCAAATGCATGCAATATAAAGCATGCAACATTTAGGTCTGTGCTGTGGGTCCTCTAGAATTCTCAAAATGTATCATTTGTTAACAACGAAAGTGTTGTATAAAATTATTGTTAAACATGAAGTTCTCTAGGGTATGATTTATGATCATATGATTTATAGTTCATGTTTCTAGACAGCCCATCTTCCTCAAGGGACTCGAGTTTAAAACTTTAGATGGTATCTGCATAATAACTTCATCAAAACAGTTTAGTCATTGGCTTATTTTATAGAATAAATCTGGAAGTTGATCAACTGTTTCTGCATTAAGTGCAATCCTAAGACTCTTGATTTATAAGTTTGTCCAATTAATTTCAGTGGAACGTATGCTGAAGTACACGGGTGTTTAATTGCACATACGGCTATAATAATCATACAGATTACAGAGGGCTGTAAAGCACTATGTAAGTCTAAGTGCAATTGCTATTAGCTTAGACAAAGTCGAACATTCCCTTGTACTTTCATCTGAATCCATGTTTGTGCATAGTGAAACATTCTGCAATCTGTTCACAGCAGAATCCTTTTCTGCCTTGGTTTAATAGACGGACCCAGAAACACATTTATTCTAGAACCGATTCATTCTAACCTTGTGGACAGACAGATGAGATCAGCTGGGAGATGCTCCCCATTGGTCACCTTCACTATTTCCCCCACTGCAACCTTTACCAGTTTTGAAATAATAATAATTATAACAGAATAATAAATAAAAGAGGAGAAATCAAACGGATTAAAAAAGAAAGACAGAAAATTGAAGTTATTATATAAAGCATGTTAAGGAACAGTCTCCCCACCCCACAAATCTATTTAATTTGGATCAGAAAAATGTGTTATTTAAAATATTTTTAGAGACAGCAAAAATAACCCTAAAAGGGGAACATCAAAGCGTAATTGTCAAGGGCAGGGGAAATCACAAGATTCAGGCAGTTCAAATAAGTATAAAGATTTACTGCAAGCTTAAACTCTCTACAAGAATTTGAGCTACTAGCGGTCAAAGGAAATGAGCGGGAGATAAGAGAGGTATTCAAGTGGAATGGACAGAGTTCTTGTGGGTGCACAGGGACTCGTGACTGAGGCCATGTTTGACCCCTCCCTCAGGCTCATCCTGGTCATCTCCTACAGTAATACAAATTCTTGGTATTAGAAAGGAAATAAGAGCAGTGATGGCGAACCTTTTTTGGCTTGCATGCCAACAGTGGGGGGAGCGCAGGGGGGGCCATGTGTGGGCATGCCACACCCATAATGCAATGCGCCGACCCCAACACGCATGCATGCATGACCAGGGCTTCCCATTTTTTCCAGAAGCTTTCTAGGAGCCTGGGAAAGGCGAAAACAGCCTCCCCCCCCCAGAGGCTTCAGGAGCTTCCCTGAAGCCTCCAGAGCGCAAAAAAACGGCCCTACGGGCAAACCGGAAATTCAGGAACAGACTTCCGGTTTGCTCATAGGGCTGGTTTTAGCCCTCGGGGGCTTTCCGGAGATGTCCCTGAAGGCCCTGGAGGGCAAAAAACGAACTTCCGATTTGCTCGTAGGGCTGTTTTTTTGAGCTCCGGAGGTTTCAGGGAAGCTCTTGAAGCTTCTGGAAGGCCTCTGGGGAGTGGGGGGGCTGTTTTCGCCCTCCCCACGCTCCTATAAAGCCTCTGGAACCTGGGGAGGGTGAAAAATGACCTCAAAAGAAGGCCAAAGTCAGATGGCCAGCGCGCGTATGCGCGCTGGCCAGCTGACAGGGCAATGCCTCATGTGCCCTGACAAATGGCTCCACGTGCCACCTGTGGCACGCACGCCACAGGTTCGCCATCCCAGAAATAGAGCATAATAATGTATTATTTAACTTCAGGAAAATAATAAAAGTAATTTGAAAAAGGAATGGAGGGAAATATCTTGGTTTCCTTTTCAGATGCCAAGAACTCCTTTAACATAATTAATAAATACTGGAATTCATGGCTGTTTCACAATCTAGAGAGCTACTCCGATATGTTTAGAAATTCAAATTCAGCACATCTACCAGGAAGACATGATGTAGATGGAGTGGGAATCAAATAACCATTCTATGAGCAATTTCTTCATAGAAGATATCAAAATAAAGTGTGAGGTGTCAGCTTTCATTGAGAAAGGAAAAGCCTATTTAAACAAGAATTCCATATGGTAAAAATCTTCAGGTAAGGGTAGTAAAATACTCTGTTTAAATATTTATATTTGGAGATAATGACCCAATCAAATAGATTTGGGGGTGGGGGGAAATGTTTCATATATTGAGTTGTCCAAGGAAACACAGATAAACAAGATTAAATTTCACAGGAATGAAATCTAGTATTTTGAAATCTGAAAGCATGTCTTGAGGCTTTAAATTAAATTAGGAGGAAAAGCTTCTGAGTTCCAAACTACGAAAGAAAATATAATCAGATGCACTGGAAAGTCCAGTACTTTATTCTTTCGAAGTAGGCTTCCTTAGCAATAATTCATGTATGCAATATTTCAGCAGTTCTAAACATTTCTGTTTATTCTTTATTTCCTTGGTGCAATTATGGATCAAAGTTGGAGAGAGAAAACAAAGTCTATTCTGGAAACATTGATGAACATCTCTACCTTGATGAGAGAAGTACAATGTCAGCAGGTATATATTCTTTGCCTTTTATTAAAACTACATCTCCAACATCTACCTGAAAGAAAACTAGGAATCGGTTAATGGTCTGAAACTAGCAGAATAATCCTTTCCTTTGCTGAATTTAAGTACGCACTGTGCAATAAAAGTAATAAACGACTTAAAATGGAATCGACGGTATGTAAGAGGTTTAAAAACTGTAGGCATTCCCATCTAAGTATTATTTTTCTCCCATTTAACAGAATAACCACATTTCTATTTTCATTTTATAACAGAAAGTATAACACCATTTTCTCATAACAAAAAAGAGTGATGATCTGTTTGTTACTTGGTATGAATACAAAGTACATCTTTATGGTCAGTCAGCTCTTTGCCTTATTTAGATCATGTTGCACAGTCTGACAGTTAATCCTCCAAGAATTAAAAAAAACGAGTTGACTTCAATACATAAATTTTAGTAATATATTCTGTAGCACTTGTGCAGTAACAAAAATATAACAATTTGGAAGGTCTTTTTACTGCCTAAGAAATAAAGTATAGTATAGAATCTGTCAAGTCAAATAATGACACACTCTCTTGCAGCTATATAAAATTGATTACTAGGGTAACTTGAATAATTTCTACTTAGAGGTAATTCCCACTTAGTTCAATGAAATTGGCTTCTATGTGGGCAAATATAGATTTATAGTTGTCATGAATTAAAAATATCTAAAATGAATTCGTATTTCAGTTCTCCAGCGCTTATTTTCCCTGGAGTAAATATTGCAATCCATAATGAATGAAGGCACTTATAAGAATAATTAAAGCACTGTTCTATGCTAAACAAGAGAGATAATATTTTTAATTCTTTATTATAATGCTGTTAGCACTATGGTTACATTTACGTTCTTAAACAGATAAGATACACATGCATTTTGAGAGACCGCCTCCTGCCAATTACCTCCTCACGACCCATTAGATCGCATAGATTGGGCCTCCTCCGAGTTCCA